TGTGCAGTGTGCAGTGATAGAATATTATTGTGACATCATAATGCATTACTGTCACTGCTGCATTGTCCTGTTTCTACAGTATGGCAAATGAGTGAGGGCACCCAAAGACCTCTTAACATGGACTCATGACCCCAGGGATAATCTTGAGATGTCTCAAAGGATTGACACGATTATCCTGAGTGTGTGTGTGAGTGTGTGGTATTAGTGGGAATTATGGTTCACTAAAAGTGAAATTGTGAAACAGAAAGTGTGCATAATGTTAACCTAATGACTGACTGCCGTTTGTCAGCCACTGTAAATTGAGGCCATTTATGTAATTTCTGACTCATCTCTGAGTCAGATTTGGCTGATGTAACTGAGGAAATCAATCAAGATTGATTTTACAAATGAATCACCTGTCATTTCTAGGGTCCGAGTTCCAGGGTTATTTTAGTATCTGATACAGTGTCATTGATTTTAGTTATTTACATCCATTTTTTTGTGTTTTAATGTCTATACGTTGTTTCTTAATTTGTATTTATTAGATTTAGTTTGTTTCGTTTTTGTTATTTTAGTTTTACTAAACAGAAATTAGAAAGGTTGCCTTGGCAGCTGAATTTTTAAGTTTCTTTATTTATATTTTTTATATTTTACAGAAAATGTTTTTTATTTTAGTTTTATTTAGTGATAATCAGGCAATATACGAGGTTACCAAAATCATTTACCTCCTTCTATTTCACACACAATAGTTTTAATGCTACCCAAATGCTACTCTGGTGATGTCTAATGTCCTCTGTTTAATACGCTAGAAAGCATTTTAATTTGAAATGAACAGTTGCAATTATACATTAGGGTCACCAAATCTGACAAAACGCTGTTACAGGTTACCAAAATCTGTTACACCTCTCTATTTTGCACAGAATTACATTAATGTTTCTTAAATTTACTTTGCTGATGTCTAATCTCCTCTGTCTGCTCTATATTATATGCTAGAAAGCATATTGCTCTGATGTGAACAGCTGCAAACATACAGCAGAGTCACCAAATCTGACAAGGCAGTGTGACAGGTTACCGAAATCCATTACCCCTCTCTATTTCGCACAGAATGATTTTAATGTTACCTATATTCACTCTGATGATGGTTAAACTTCTTTATTTTATTTATTCTCTAGAAAGCGTATTGCGCTGTTGTGAACAATTGCACATATACAGCAGGGTCACTAATTCTGAGGCAGTGTAACAGGTTACCAAAATCTGTTACCCCCTCTATTTTGCACAGAATTACTTTAATGTTACCCAAATGCACTCTTGTGATGTTTAAACTTCTCTATTTCATACTCTAGAAAGCATTTTGATTGGATGTGAACACTTACACATATACAGCAGGGTCACCAAATCCAACAACACACCATTACATGTTACCAAAATCTGTAACAGCCTTGTATTTTAGACAGAATTGCTTTAATGTTATCCAAATTCACTTTGGTGAGGTCTAATGTCCTCTGTTTCATACTCTGGAAATAAATAAAGATATATAAGATGTCCTCTATTACTCTAGAAAGCAGTTTTATTTGATTTGAACAGCTGTTCATATAGAGCAAGGTCACCAAATCTGACAACACACTGTTACAGGTTACCGAAATCTTGTGATATACTTCAGGGTCACCAAATCTGACAACATGCCGTTACAGGTTACCAAAATCAGTTACCCCTCTCTGTTTCACACACAATGGCTTTAATATTAGCCAAATTTATTCTGGTCATGTCTAATCTCCTCTATTTTATATCCCATATTGCTCTGGTGTGAACATATACAGCAGGGTCACCAAATCTGACAGGGTAATATGACATGCTACCGAAATCTGTTACCCCCTCTGTTTCACACAGAATGTCTTTAATGTTACCCAAATTCACTCTGGTGATGTCTAAACTTCTGTATTTCATACTGTAGAAAGCATTTTGATTTGATGTGAACACTTATACGGCAGGGTCACCAAAGTGGACAACACACTGTTACAGGTTACCGAAATCTGTTACCCCTCCCTCTCTTTTACACAGAATTGCTTTAATGTTACCCAGATTCACTTTTATGATGTCTAATCTTCTTTGTTTTATAATATTGGAAGCACGTAAACATCTACAAATATACACCATTCACCAAATCCGACAACACAGCCTTACAGATTATAGAAATCGGTTACTTAGATTTGCTGACCCTGCTGTATCTCTGTCCAAATCAGAGCAATATGTTTTCAAAGATATAAAATAGAGGAGGATACACATAACCAGACTGAATTTGGGTACCATTAAAATCATTCTGTGTGAAATAGAGGAGGGTAACAGATTTTGGTAACCTGTTATTGTTGGCTTTGGTGACCCTGCTATATATCTGCAGTTTTTCACATTTCTAATAAGTTTGTGAGCGGGTGAGGTCACTCTGCCCCCTGTAGGTGGACGTGTGACACTGCACGGTGGGCGTCCTGAACGATCTGGGCCATGTGGAATTTCACATCGCAGCTCCATGGTTACACAATGCTGAAGAGGATGAAAGACTGTTGACCTTTCACACGCATCCACCAACAGCACCTCTCTCTCTCTCCGTCTCTGTCTCGCTCAGGTGTTACTGGTCTTCGCTAAAGAGGACAGTCAGAGCGATGCGTTCTGGTGGGCGTGTGAGCGGGCGGGGTTCAGGTGTAACATCGCACGAACACCTGAGTCTGCGGTGGAGTGTTTCTTGGATAAACACCACGAGATCGTCATCATTGATGGCCGGCACTCACGGTACTTTGAGGCTGATGCCGTCTGCCGGTGGGTACAAGCAAACCAAATCCATCATCTGTCGCTCACTTGTTTCTGTTTAGGCAGGATGGGGAATTAAAGGGGTCATATGATGCGATTTCAAGTTTCCTTTCTCTTTGGAGTGTTACAAGCTGTTCGTGAATAGATAAGATCTCTAAAGTCTCAAACCCAAAGAAATATTCTTTATAAAAGTTAAGACTGGTCCACACCCTCCTAAAACGCCTCGTTGAAACATGCCCCCGCATGTCTACGTCACGATGTGGGAAGATTTGCATAACACCGCCCAAATGTATAAGCAAAGAAAGAAGGCGTGACTTTAGTGTTGCAGCCGCCGCCGCTGCCATGTTGTAAAGATGCTGTGTGTTTCGTTGTGAAAGCGAAAATACTTTGTTTGGCCTTCCAAAAGAGGACACGACTAGAAATCAGTGGTTAAGTTGTATTTACAAAATTGTTCCAGAACAGTTCAACCCAAATATTCCGATGTGTCCAGCGCATTTTATGGAGGACTGTTTCCTGATCCTACAATGACGGCTATTCTGACTCACAGTCTGTAAGTACGTTTTCATTTTTAAAGGATTTGCCACTGATGATTCAAACGTGAGTTTTGAGCAGTGTAGAGTAGCACTTGTTGTTCGTCATTTCATTGATCACAAATGCAGACATGGTTTTATGTTTACGCGGCGCGATGCAACACAACACGTAAAAAGACAGTATAAGTCTTTAGAATCCGTAATTATGTCCCCACTGGATGCAACAAATGCCTCGTTTATAATGGGTTTTAATGTTTTTGTCTCGTGGCTCCGACTGGGACACGGCATCACAGTATGGTAGGGGCGTAACATTTCTGTCACACACTTGAGGTATTCGGCCAATCACAACGCACTGGATAGCTGGCCAATCAGAGCACACCTCGCTTTTCAGACCGATGAGCTTTGTAAAAACATAAAAATGTTTGAACCTTAAACCACATAAACACATTTCATTACACCAAATACACAAAATAATGTTCTTTTTAGCAACATCATATGACCCCTTTAACTTTTTTTCCTTTTCAGTTATATACAATAATTCGCCATTTATATGAAATGAGTAAAATGCTCAATGTTTTTACTAAGACTGGATGTACAGAATTCCAGATTAAATTCAATTTGATTCTGAATCACAAGGTCTTATTTTGATTCTGATTAAATTGGATTTGATTTTGATTCATTTGGGTATGGTTCAGTTATAATGTACATTTTTCTTACACTACCATTGAAAAGTTTGGACTCAAATAATAATCATTTAGAAATTACTTTAGAAATGAATACTTTAATTCAGCAAGCATGCATTAAATTGATCAAAAGTGACTGTAAATAGATGTATAATTTTACAAAAGGATTCTTTTGAACTGTCTATTCATCAAATAATCCTAAAAAATGGTTTTAAAAAAATATTAAGTGGCCCAACTGTTTTCAACATTAAAAATAAGAAGAAATGTTACTTCAGAAGGAAATTGGCATAATAGAATGATTTCTGAATGATCATGTGACACTGAAGACTAGCGTAATGATGCTGACCATTTATATTTGAATCACGGGAATAAATTACATTTTAAGACATTAAAATAGAAAGCAGTTATTTTAAACTTTAATAAAATTTCACAATATTAGTATTTTACTGTATTTTTGATCAAATAAATGCAGTATTGTTGACTTTTTCAAAAAAACATCTTTCCAGCCCCAAACTTTTGAATGGTAGTTTATGAAAGAATGCACATTATATATGTAAATTATAAAGGGCAGTGTTTCAGACTGATTCAAACCAGTAACTTGTCATTCATTCATTTCAGGAATCGTGCAACACTGGTGGAAAAGAATCTAAAAAGAAACTAAAAAAAAAAGAAAAAAAAAAGAAAAAAAGAATCAGTTCATAAGAATCATTTGTATGTGAATTTTTAAGTCCAGGTTGGCCACCACAGTCGCTGAGAGGTAAATAAGGCTAAATTACTCTCCACTGTGGAGGAAGTGGCCCACATTTGGCTGGTTGTGGGTGTTAATTTCCCATCCTGCACAGAGGCTTAAATCCATGTGCGCGCACACATACTCAAAGTTGGCAACTCTCTGCCAAATCTAGTTGCTGCCAAATCACTTATTTCCCAGTAGATGTCTATGCGTGTGAGGAAGAGAGAGTCATTTGGAGAGAAATGTGTAAGAAGATACTTGATTTCACTGCCATGATGAAAACAGAAAATATAAAAACCTACTTTTTTGTTATTGTATGTGTTTTTAAACAGGATGATTCGAGCGACCAAACCTTCTGAACACACTGTTGTTTTAGCAGTGATGCCACAAATGTAAGGCCTCAGAGAACACTTTTATCTATTATCCATGTGTTACAGACGTCCTTCATGTTTCTCCTACTGATCTTTCTCTCTCGCAGTCCCTCAGATCAGGAGGAACCATCTGTCCTTCCTCTTCTCTCTGCTGGTTTCTCCAGAGTGAGTATTTTACACTAAAACAGGAATAGTTGCTCCAGTACATGGGCGGGACAATTGGGGCGGGGCTGAACATGAGTGTGGGCGTGTCCAATTCAGATTAAGATTTATTGGTGGGTTGATTACCACAGAAAATCATTTAGAAAACCAAAACTTAAAAGTAATGCACACACGCACGCTGTCAGCTTTAATAGTCATGACGGGATATGTTGGATATTTTTTTGCTCAGGCAAGTTATTTATTGATTCATGGTAGTCCCACAAGTAACGTTTTATATTTTAATATTTATGCCGTGTCCCATAGACCTCCCAAATTATTTTTAATATAAATATCCATAGCAGATCATTTTGTTTACTGAATTTCCTGCAGAAAAATCTGGACTCAACTTTAGCTTGCAATACAAACTAGGACAACATGCGTACTGTGTGATAAATGCAGTGCTGTATTATATCTCTCTCTCTCTCTCTCTCTCTCTCTCTCTCTCTCTCTCAGAGGTACCTGGAAAACAGCAGTGTGTCAGCCTGCTATAATGAGTTAATCCAGATAGAACACGGAGAGGTTCGAGCTCAGTTCAAACTGAGGTAAGTCTGAAGCCTAAGCTAGCAGGAAGTTCAACGAAGACGCTGCTGTGAGACGGTCACTGGAGGCTTCAATATTTGTTTGTGTTTCTGTTGTTGCAGGGCTTGTAACTCTGTGTTTACCGCATTAGAACAGTGTCAGGAAGCCGTGGAGATCAGCAGTGAAGATCATGTCATACAAGTGAGTTTTGGGATCCAAATGGATTGTCCCACTGGAATTTGGTTACATTTAGGAAGGCCATTTTTATTCAAAACAACATCCGTACAAGGACTACTTCCTGGATATAATGCAGTAAAGTTAAGGTGGTCGCACACCAGATTAGAAGCACAGTAGGACAACTCACGGGTATAACACACCGGACACTTTGCATTCAGTTCAAGATGGCAGTCCAAAACATATTACTCTATTACTCTACTCTATATTACTCTATTTATACAGCTGTATAAAAAATATGCATATGTATTTACATAGTACTT